CAGGAGAGCTCTGTGCCCCACAGCAGCCATGGGCTGGTGTGACCACAAGTGTGGGGCTCGGGGCGGTACCTGGGCCCAGCGTGTCCGGCCTGCCGGGCGCTCCCATGCCCTTCCTCCCTGAGCTTGCACTCCCTTCCCAAAGCCCAGAAAGGAGCAGTAACGATGCCTCAGTGATGCTATGCTAAATTACTTTAAAAGCTTAGCTGTATTTTTTCTTAATAACTATTTTTAAAAAATTAACTATTGGTATTGTAAAAATATTACTGGTTGCTGTGACTGCCAGATCCGTAAAACTGGCAGTTGTAAGCATCAAATGTTTTCCTAAATTAAAATGGAAAGATAACTAGGTAGACAAGTAGATAGATTTTTACAGCTGGAAAGACTATGACAATTCTAGTTTAAAACTTCTATGTTATGTACATATTTTGATTTTTCACTAATATACAGGTTAATGACTTTCTAATTATGGAAAGATACTCTAGAAGCTCCATTTTACAGTTTCTGCTCAAAGAAATAACTTTTTCTATGAAAATTAATATTTATGAAGATTGGTCGGATCTCTCATCTTCCCCAGACATATGAAAGGATTAGCTTTTTTGTCTGCACTTTTTAAAATGTCTTTCTTCTGAAGACAACCAATTCCTGTGGTACAACGAGAACAACGTTGGAACAGTTATAGTTATATCACAGCAGCAATTAGAAGCTTTCTGGGAGATCAGAATATCATTGTATTAGGTGATGTGCAGACAGTAAAGGTCAATGTCCCAAAGGTCTTACAATCTAAAGGCATAAAGCCAACAAATATATACTACTAATCCATTTTTCAGATTAAAAAAAAAGCATAAAGAAGTAATTAAATGCCTCACACAAGCTCCACATTCATCTGGAATTTGGAACTAAAAATGAAACCTCTAGGGCTTCAATCCAGGGTTAAAAGAAATCTTTTGTTGGAAAAAAAAAAAAGTGCGCTTAATGTAGAGAACTTAATTATTCTTTTTTAAAAATATATCCAAAATCCCTCAAACACAGGAAATGAATAAAAGTTATAACTAGAAAAAAAAATCTTCTTTAGGAATGTTCTGTTTTGCTATTAACAATTGATCAAGCATCACATTATATAGATATAATAACTTAATCCTTTAGTCTTAAGTAGCAGCACTACTCTAAATTAAAACAATCAGATTCACAGTTTGAACTAAATAATAGTGCCTTTAAAACCTGTGCAAAATAAATAACTATTACAGTACACTCAGTAGGAGATAAAAATGATGCTTGAAACCAAATAACCTGTGATCAAGTTTACTTTCAAGATGGTATTCATGTGCTTTAGTAGTGTGTGGTCCCCCAGAGGAAAGATTTGGGAATACTGGCTCTTCCTCCTGGTGCAGCAGCCCTGGCTGTAGAGGTTGTAAAGGGAATAAATGCTCCTGCCACTTTCAGCAGTCAAGGAAAGACTGCCTATCAACCTGTTCTTTTTCAGACTGCCTATCAACCTGTTCTTTTTTTTTCAAAATGTAGCTGAGGAAGCTAGGAAAGATAAATGAAGGGGTATCATAAAAGCCTATTTAAAACTCTTCCGCACACAGAACAAGTCATACAATACTCTGCCCTTTTCCACCATTTTACAGAAGGAAATAAATACTCTCAAATGCACTTTAGCACTCCAGCCTAGGTCAAGCCAGCAAGACCGTGAGTCACTCGAGCTCCCCGAGTATATTGAGGGTGCAAACAGGAACTGCTGGACACTCCCAGCACCCTGCCCTAGGCAAAGAGTGGACATTTCTGCAAAGTGGGCCAGCAGATTTCTCATCTCAAATTAATCTCAACCAGCATTTTGGGAGAGTTCAGCTTCTGCAGTGCTGGAACACTTGGCATGGAAAAATGAGCCACAACTTTGGAATAAATTTGATCATGCATCTCTCTAACCCCCAGTATTATTAATATGCAATTTATGCATATTTATTTACCTATTTGTTTTTTTCCAGTTAAACTAACATTTAGCACAACCCCCACAATTGGAGGCGGAGGTCTGAAAGGAAAATACAAGGCCGTGGAACTTCATTTTCACTGGGGAGTAAAAGACATCAACTACTACCTGCCTGGGTCAGAACACAGCATAGATGGGGAAAAAACAGCTATGGAGGTAGGTGGATGAGAGGAACAGGCAGCAGCTAGTGACTCTGGCTTTTTGTGATGCTACTGCATGAAACTGCAGGCGTGGAAACAAGGAACTGGATGCACTGATTACTGATTAGATCACATGGAAAAAAAAATTGAGTTTTGCACAACAAAGGTACAGGAGATGCAACAAATCTGGATTTGTTTAGGCTTTTGGGTGGAGAAATATTTCGAAGTCTACACGCTCTGATTACCCTCTCATGTACTGCTAATTCAAACACATCTGGGACTGCAACCATAAAGTGAGGATACAACTGGGGAAAAAAAAAAGAACAATCTCTTTGAGGCGAGGCAAGGCGAGGCAAGTCACCAGTGCTGGGGCACATGGGTTGGTGACCTTGGTGACCATCCTTCTTTCCAAACCATGAAGTAAAAAGCTGCCACATTGCAGAGGCCAAACAGTGAGAATAGCAGCAATACAGAGAGCACTTCAGTTTTACTCACATGGTGGGCAGATGCACAGAATGAGGCTGCTCGTGATGAACGTTCAAATTATAGCCCATTTCTTGGACACAGTTCTTGTCTCAGATCATGCTCAGTGCTTTTTTCCCTGAACTGAGAGGAAAAAAAAAAACAACAAAAAAAACACCAAACAGCCCTGGTTCCACCCCAGCATAGACACAGAGCAGCAGTCAGACTGTATTTATACCAACTAACTACAGAAAAGGAACAAATAATTGACCTTGAACTGTTGTATTACAGATTCATATTGTCCACATAAAAGAAGAGCTTTCAGATATAACAGAAGCAAAGAAAAATGAGAATGGTATAGCTGTGTTGGCCTTCTTTGTAGAGGTAGGTAGCCACATTTTTATTTGCTCTCTCAAACCTACATCTTCTAGCAATATGGCTCAGGATTAGACTGTGTCTGTGTTAAAATGGTCCAAGAGTTAAATATCCCTGATTTCTACAGCTGTGCAGTCCCAGCACATAGTTACTTAATACTTTTCTGTAGTCTCTTTTCTGTTTTCTATTATCTTTGTTTTATTCACTATTAAAGTAACCAGCTTTTGGGAAATGCATGTTTTGGAATCAAAATATTTCCATTTCAGGTTGGAGATGAAAATAAAAATTATGCAACTCTAATAAATGAATTAGACAATGTTAAATACAAAGGTAAGACATCTGGATTGCTCAAAGAGGTACATATATTTATTTTGAGCACATATGCTGCAAGATAGTTGAATTTTAGTTACGATTACTTGAGACTCAGGGCCCAAGGATAGAGATTAGTTCAAATACTCAGAACATTGCAGGCAGGAGAAAACCTATTTTTCCAAATTTGCCAGTAAAAAAAGCCCTAAGCATCAAAATGAGAATTTCTGCTTCTGCAGGAGGAAACAAAGGAGAATTAAAAAAAAAAAGCAGATTTTTAATAAAAGATATGTGCGTAATTTGTGCTCTTTGGGCTCCTCAAACTGGCAGCCAGTGATTTCTCAGGCGATGCACCAAGGCTGCCGCAGCCAGGGAAGCCAGCCTGGGGCTGAGCCTTTGGGAAGCCTGTAGCAGCAGCTGCATGTGAAGACAAGAATGAACAATCCTGCTCACTGCGCCTCTTAGAAACTGTATTTCTGCACTGTTTGCCCAGGGAACGTAGGACAGATGGATCCTTTGCCACTGTTCTCTCTTCTCCCAAACGAAGAAGACCTGGCAAAATACTACCGGTACACAGGGTCCCTCACCACCCCAGACTGCCACGAGGGTGTCATCTGGACGGTGTTTGAGAAGCCGGTGGCGCTCAGCCTTGCACAGGTACCTTGCAGAGGGGTGTCCTGAAAGGCCAACTTAGGCTCTTTTTGCTCCTCTTTTTGCCTCTTCACTCCCATGATTTAATACAGAGTCCTTTGCTTCCCCACTGCTCTGCTGCTTTCAGCCTAGTCACAAGAACCTTCAAACTGACACTGCTCAGACAAACTTACACTTTCCAGCGTGCCCCTGACTCCAGTCTAAGCCTTTATCTAGTCACAAGGGCCAGTTTTGACAACAGCGCTTTATGGTCTTATTATATCTTCTCTCAAAATACAGCAGGAACAGAAAGGTGAAAAGAAAGCCAAACCAAATCACAGGTCAATGCATAGTTCAGTGTTTCATCCATCCACAGCACTTCTGCTACAGCCATCTGCTCGATCCCAAATACCACTGCTTTTCTACTTAAAAAAGAACACTTAAGAACACTTAAAATCCTAGTAGAACAAAATACTTAAAAATTGAAAGTTGGGTCTATCAGCTTCAGGCAACTCATTTTTGTCCTGCAAAGGTGACCACGGTGCTGAGTCATGACCACCTATAAAATGCAGAGGGTTCCACAGAGAGAACACGGGATGAAGAATTGAGATGTCCTGGAGTGAGGTCTTGGTAATATCACCCTCTAGCACAGTCTGGGCGAGATCCAGCATCTGTGCTTTTGTTCCTTATTTGCAGCATGCTTCCACAGAGCAGTGCTCAGCTATGTACCATTGATCATGACAGAGTGCACAAGGCAGTGAACTGCTGCCTGCTAGGGCCAGCTTCTTGCTGCAAGAAGTCAGAAATCTGGAGCTGGGAAAGAGAAGAGGCAACATAATCCTAAACCCCTGGCTTTGTGTCACTGCGATGTGACACGCACGGTGAGGATTCACTGCATTACAACTGCTGGGCTAGCCAGGTCTGTAAGCAGGACAAAGACCCGTGACTCACACAGAAAGGAAGTCTAAACGACTTCTGAGGCTAAAGGAAGGCATCTGTCGTCGACCTTGGGCAGTATCTCCATCACAAAGTTTCCTGCAACATCTAACGCACAACAATGCCACAGAGCAAGGCCTGGCAGATTAAAAATATCACAATTCCTAATGTTTCACGGAAAAAGAATGTAACGCTGTTTTTTAAATGTCTGCAGGTTTCTCAGTTCTCATTGCTCCACTTTGGTGGCAATAACTCAACATACATGGTTGAAAATTTCCGGCCTGTTCAGCCTCTGAACGACCGAAGCATTTACTGGTCTGGTGCCAGCCTCCCGCAGCCTTCTGCTCAGGTTTTAGTGTTGCTCTCAGTCCTGACATATATCCTGAGCTCTCTCCTGCGATGAAGACTTCTCACCTCATCCAAGGTTCTGTGGGTTTTGGGGGTTTTTTGTTGTTGTTGTTGTTGTTTATTTTTTAAGCAGTTTTTGTTTATTTTGGTTGTTTTTGTATCAACTATTGTCTGTAACTGCCAATTCATGAATTACATCTGATTGCAGAATTTAACCTTTTTCTCCTCCAGACACTAACCATTTTTTAAAAGACTTCTGCTGTTGCTATTTATGTAAAATAAAAGCCACTGCACTAAATTAATAGAATTATAAGAAACTATAAGATAAATGTATGAAAATTTTAATTAAAATAAAGAAAAACATTAAGATGGATTATCTGAAATCCCGTAGTTTTAACACAACCTTGAAAGAATGCTTAACCAGCTAAGTGGAGGACCTTTAAGAGGAATTTGTTTGTTGCAAGTTTACACTCAGCACTGCAGATCAGGAACACCGACTGTCTGGAATAATTCACATTGCTCCCACGTTCCCCCGCATGAAGGTACAACACAGAGCACACAAATGCTCACCCTGAAACCAGCAACGCTGGGTCTGTCTGTCTAGTGAAGGATACCTGACAAATTTCATCTGTACTCATGCAGCTTTCTCCCTTCTTCCTTCAATACAAGTCAATTTGTAGATAAGGTATTGGATCCCTTAGGCAATCTATTAATTCTGAATTTCAGGTCAGTAGGTTTCACTACTGAGACTATTTATTCAGCCTCGTAGTAGAGCTTTCTTCTCCAGGATGCCCACAGCTGATAAGATGTGCTAGGGAGAAAAAGGGAAGCTCAACTCCGTGAACTAATTGCACATCTGTGAAAATTCCCTCTCTTTGGAGGATTGTCTTTGAAGCCTGAGACTTTGATGATCCTATATAATTTTAATTTGCATAATAAAATGGGAGAGCTCAAGAAACGGCTCTTACCAGTATTGTGTCTTGGAAGCTTTTTCAGTTTAGAAATATGTGAACGTTTCCATCTGTTCTCTTTTTCTAAATACTATCATGCCTGTAAAACATTAAGATCTGTATTTTTCCAAGAAGATTGCAATTTGAACTGATATCTTCACACCTTATCCAATTACTTTCAGGAAAGCTCAGTATAGTGAGAAAAAATGGGATTTCCATGTAGTGTTCCAGTTCTCCCTCTAAAGACAACCATAGCTGGCTGTTTCCTTCGGCTAATGCCACATCACTTGCTGCTGCTTCACAAAGTATTTTAGATTTTGGCCGTGGCAAAAAATAGAATTTTCTCCCAACAAAATTATACTTTTTTTGTATATAACATTTGCAGAGATCTGCAGAGATTGCAGAGTTTTGCCCTACATGACAACTACAAGGGCATTTTCAGGAGAATGAAACAAGCATTACTAAACACAGCTCACTAAAGGAGAAAAAGCAGGATGAAAATTTGTGTTCATATATAACAATCAATAATATAAGCTTAAAAACGTGGGAAAGCAAATTCACCATTTACATTTAGAGGAATAGTTAAAATTTTAACTGTACTTTTGGATAGTAAAAAAAAACTTTTGAAAAGCAGGCATAAATGAAAGATTAAAGCTGAACAAGACCTATTATATTTTCATTGCCTTGAGTTTTCATTTCTCTCATCTTCCTGAAGATGATCCTCACAACAAGCATTAAGAAAACTGCCGTTTTCCCCCACTTTCTTCGCGGAGTCTCCCATGGGGTTTGCTTTTCCTCAGGGCAGAGGGAGGCCCTGTGGAGCTGCGCTGCGTTCAGACACGACCGATACCAACAGGCCTCAGGATCTCCTGCTTCGTGTGGGTCTCCGCAGTGTGGTCTGTGCACAGAACTGCTCCAAACGCAGCGCTCGTTCTTACTGGGGAGCTTTATCTCCTGCTGTTCAGCTAGCCAGGACAGTTCCCTATTCAGCCCTCCCTGCGCACCCCTCCACCATCGATTTCCATTACCTGGTTTCATACTTCCCTCACCTCTCTTAATATCCCATAGGCAGAGGAAATACTGAGAAATTAAGGAGACTTTGCTTTCGGGTTTTTTTTACAAGACGTTATAAGCGGATGTATTCCAACAGGCCCCCATTTTACTGCCCTTCCAAGATTTACGAGCAACACCATAAAGGGCACAGTCGCATGCAGGAGCCCCACAAAACCGGGAGCTCCCGCTGCCGAGCGCCTGCGGATGCTGCTGCCGGGACGGCCCCGGAGCCAGGGCCCGACGTCGGGGAGTGCCAGCACCGGAGCCAGCCTCGGCCCCTGCCTCTCCTTCCAGAAATTAGTTACTATTATTTCCTTGAAAAATTGAAAAATACCACTAAGAGAGGAGGAAAAAAAAAAGAGACAAAAATGCTTAAAATAGGGTCAGTATAGTTCTCTCCAAGCACTCTGAATATATCTCTGCAAGAATAAGCTCTAAATAGACAAATATGACTAATTTTCCCTGAGTGAATCTGAATTTTATGCCAGGTTTATGAAGAAAAGTGAAACGCAGGGCTTCCTAAACAAAAACAAAAGTTACTAACAGCAATTCTTTCTCCAAAGAGTTAAAAAGAACAACTATAGATGCCTGCAGCAGTTCTTTGCAGTAGTAGGACATAAAAATACTGTAGAATTTTGCTTGAAAGACCATTTCTACAGAATTACCACCAAAAAAAATATTTGCTAAGCTCTCCCAGGCTGTAGTAGTGCTGAAATTCATCCTCATTTCTTCTGGGCTCCTGTACCTCCAAAATCATTCTTCTGACTGAATCTCATAACTATTTTTTTTTACTCAAGTAATGAAGGAACAACCAGTTCCCTTCCCAGGATCATTCTGCCTCTGAAATAGGAAGGAGAACAGTAATAACAATACAATTCTATTTAATTTAAAAGATTAAATAGCTGATAAGGTGATTCAATGTTTACAGTGTCATTCACAATAAAAAAGGAGCTCTAATCTGTGATTTCTGTGATGCGAAAAGATATTACTCATCCTGTGCTCTAAGAAAAATGTAACCCCAGTGTCTTCAGCTTGGGGTATGCAGAGAATGAGGCGTAATCAGCGTGCAGCACCGCTCTGAGCAGTGGGCAGATTCAGCATTTATTTAAGGAGAACAAACTCAGCAAAGGGTTGTTTTTCCATTTTCTTCCCCTCCTTCTCCCTCTGCACACTTCTGTGTTTGGGCCACGTAGCTGCGGTCTATGAGATTCCTATTTCACAGGAATTAGGGCGCTGTCACTCTATTCGTTCCCATTTTTACAGGCCCCTTGGAGCGAGGACGTTCCAGGCATTAGGACGAGCTCACGGCCACTCTTTGTGTAGCTCGGGACAGCAGAGAGACGCAGAGCACATGAGGCTTTGGAGGCTAAAGCCGACCTGGGAGTTCCGGGATTCCCAGCTGGAGTTGGCAGGATGCGCAGCAGGGAGCGACGGCCCCGGAGCTGGGATGATCCCGCTCCATCTGAAGCTCTTGCCCAGGGTATTCTGCATCTCTGCAGACAGCCAGGCCTTCTGGTGCCGAACGTGCCAATTACAGCAGTAGGATCTGGGCAGTAAATCAACAGAAATTTACAGCAAAAGCCCTTCAAATAAAAAAAAGGGAAAAAAAAAAAAAAAAAAAAGGGATCCATAAAAGACAGGAAGGCTTAAATTGGAACACCTGGTTTTCCTTTGCGAGGATAGTTGTGAAAAAGTAATTTGCTCTTCTACAGTTCGCTTCAGGCAAAGGTTTCCAAGAATTGCATCTCCGCAACACGGAGCGGGAGGCTCCTCACCGGGAAGCTCCGGCAGCCGCTGCCCGGCTCCCAGGTGAGCGGCCACGCCGCGGGAAAGGGCTGCGGAAGGAAGGGAGGCAGCTAAAAACCCTGCAATAACGGGATTTTCCCACTAAAGAGCAACTGTCACAGAATTTTGCTAATACATTTCACATATGTTGGAAGCAGAGCTGAACACTGCATAGCTTACGTGCCTAAAAGCTGGAACACAATAGAAAACTGAACAGCACTGGAAGCTGTAATTCACTGGAAAAGTGCATTTTGGGGTCAAAAAAAAAATAGTAGTAGTTGGCAAGCAGGGGCTTTATTGCACTGAGCTGAGCTCCAAAGCCGGAGCTGTGCCAGCAGTGCAAAGCACCCGGCAAAGCTCCCGGCTGCTACGGCACGACTCGGAGCGGCGGATGCGCGTCCTGCGCAGTCCTGCGCGGCAGCGGCTCCGCCACGGAGCGGCACAGGGATCCCGGGAAAACACGGCCCTCGCTGCAGGGCGCAGCGGGAAAGCTGATGGGATCAGACCCCATCTGAGGGCCAGAGCTTGGAGACGGGAAGCAGCACATCTGCCATAGCAAACCAGGCCCAGCTGAGCTCGTACTGCGATTACCTGGAAATCTGCAGGACGCTCATGGATACACACACAGAGACACTTTGTGCAGCAGGTTTTTGGCCAAGCATTCGTTCGGGAAGCAGAGGGAGACATGGAAAGGCAGGCATTACTCACAGGAAACATTCTCCACAAGGAATTTTCACAACTTGTCAGCCCTGTCCTGCGCTCACCGCCTCCCTGCTGAGGAACTCGAGCTCAAAACGCACTTTCTTGAGAACTCAACTCTTTTTCCATGGCTGCTTGGAGAAAATGGAAAAGCTTGCTTTCTTTTTCTTTCTGCCCGGATGCGGGCTGCACAAGGAAGACAGTATTTGCCAAGCAAATAGCAGGCAGTTTTGCTGTTGAGCAGATGTCATATAACGGATCTATATAAAATAGACTTCCATTTACCCATAATCAAAAAAGGCACTTCCAAATTTCCAAAAACGGATACAAAGAAACTTAACTAATCTCACTGAGATGTCGTAAATATATTAGCGCCAGTCCTAGCCTAAACCGTCTCCGATACAGAAGTGGGGAGGAGCACTTCCTACCCTCACACTTTGCACAGGAGACACCGCTGCACTTCAGAACACACCACGTTTACACAGGGAAGGTTCCTTACCTTGGGCATACAGCGATTGCTTTCTAAAAAAGACATTTAAAACTGCATTTCACAGGGGCCTTAGGGGAA